GAACGAGCAGGCCATGCAATAGGACCTCCACGACCAATCCATTTATTTGCAAAGTGTTGATTTAAAAATTGCCTAGCCACTTGGCTGAAATGCGGCGGAGCTCCATCATGCGTAAACCGCGTACGAAGTCTAATATCGACTGAAACTTCCTCTAATATTTCGTGTAAACGCGTGCTCAAAAAATCAACGTACTTTGTGCCTGTTAGTTTCCCATCAAGAGAAAAAGATCCAATTAAAAATTTATCAATTATTCCTTCCCGTACGTTTAAACTAAACTGATGTCAATAACATGTGGGTTTTCTTCATCCCAATTATGATTATTATGAAAATTGAATGTACCTGGTAAAACGAGCTTACTAGAGTTTGCTCTGTTTATAAAATTCATTATATCTCATAAACGAAGACAGATAGGACATATGTTTATGTGACTTTTTCTCATTATTTTTAGGCGTACAATCAGCTCCCGAAATGGGTCCCACAAGTTACGAAACACCCTGTATATTTAATATCTACACTGTCGTTTGATTTATTCACCAACAGTTCTAAAGTCTAAACAAACAAAATCAAATTCACGTACGTGAACTCTTCCTTGTTTTTCTTCGTCACATCGCACTGCAAGCACATTTTGTCAAGCGGAAGCTCCTGCCTCCTAGCTGTCGACTGCATGATAGCCGTGAGCAACGACTGAGGATTAAAGAATCCAGCCAACCAGACCGACGGTGGCAACTGGAAGAAACGACATCTCTCTCGTAATAATCAGTGATGTATCAATAACAACGATTTGAATCCACTACAGGCTGGCCACTGAAAAACTGAAGGGTTTGAAAGAGTCATAACTTGTTCATTTTCAATCGTTTTTATTTGAGGGATGTTGTTCTTCCACACACAATACTGAAAAAAATCCATTAACACTAGAACCACCGAGGACTAAAGTACAAAAATTGAGTCAAAGAAATTAGAATGCAAGGAATAGGGAAAGAATTATAATACGATAATGAACACGAACTTTTATTCGCATATTTTACAAAAATCACTCGAATTTTTAAAAAATGCAAACATTGTAAATCAGCAAAGTTACTCTAAAAAATTATAAATTGGTCATTTTGACCGCTGTCTGGTAGTTCTAGTGTTAATTATATTTCCAAATAAAATAATGAAAACATAAAAAAAAAACATGCGTTTGTAACAGTTATTTTTGTTTTATATCATTCAGTGTTTCAGTGACCACACCTGTAGTTGCACTTCGATTCTTATCTTCTTATCTTACGACAAAGTCAGTGGACCACGTTTCCAATTCTCTGATTCGCAGTAGCAGGTCGACGAACCAAGCGGCGAGCCCTAAGAGTGATGGATAAGCTCTTTGGGCCCAAACAGGTGGCACTTGGTCGAGGAACAACGCGTTCTCCAGGTCCTCCATGTCTGAAGTGATCGTTAGCTCTCCCTTCAGGCCTAAATCCAGTTCACGTAGAGACCGTTTTATCTCGGTGGTCAAATAATTCATTCGCTCGCACTCTTGGAACGCTACGATCACGTACGGAGTCCTCTCCTCCACTTTGCCCATTATTTCCGTCATGTTGAACTCCTCCGGAAGCTTCTCCATTATTTCGTCCAGAATTTGCTTCACCTTTCCAGGATGAAAATAATTATTCACCCCATTGAGAAATAGTTCTGAAGAATTTGCTCGTTGGAGAATTTGGTCGAGGAGTGTCTTTATTAATTTTGGCAAGTTGGCGAATAGTTTTGAAGTTGTTCGATGTGTGTATTATCAATCAGGCATTGGCATTTTTTGAATAAAATACTTGAGAAATATATCGTTTTGTTTGATTCAATGTTAGAAAATAATTCTTATTCTTATTAGAAATAATTACTTGAAGTAATTATACGTTCGTTTATTTGAACAGGCAAACGATCTTTCTCGAAATTAATTTATTATTTGATTATTGAATGAAACAATATTTTATTTCATTTTGTACTTGTTTCCTTAAATAATTTCTAATTCTCTCTCTCTATATATATATACATATATATATATATATATATATTTATTTATTTATTTATTTATCTTCATCTTAAATAAAATTTGCCTAATCCTGTTATCAATAAGTGAGAAAATTATATTAATCGTACATTCCCACTCACAAGTATTAGAATTCAGTATTATTTCTTTTTTCTCATTGTTACTTCAGGGAAGAATTATTCAATGAGAATATTTAACGTGAAGAATATCAGAACGAATCGATGAAGAATGTTTCTCAAAAATTATTCACTAAACTGACAAATGAAAAAAAGTTACATTGATCGTGCAATCCTTTAAGTTTTAGAGCCCTAGATTATTTAATATAAATTACACGTATTTTTTATTGAAATTTGTGACAATTCTACTGCTTTCTTAATTACCTTCTCCTCCCTTGTCACTGTTTGCCCACCAGAGCTACCTGCATCCCTTGGTTGCATTTCGAACACAGTTTTGAAGAGATTCTCTGCAGTCATGGTTAGAAAACCAATTTCTGCATTTGGGTGCAAACCGTATAAATAAGGCGATTCTGGAGGCATTGCTTCGTCAATGTAGGCGTGATAGCCGACTAAATCCGTATTTGGCGGTGCTGTGAAACCTTTAATAATATTTGATTCATCAATCATCACTTTTCGAGTAAGGAATTACAATCGAGGACTCGAGGCGCTATCCTTACCTGGCGCTAATTGCAATTCACCGTCGACCAATTCAGGTTGCATTAATTCCTCGAGATAGGAGACGCAAAGCCTTCTGTCCCAGTCGTCAGTTATATGCCCGCCATACATAATTTCCCCGAAAAGGTACCTTTTGTATCGAATAATTTAAATTATTCACAAATCGTATCATCACGCTACAACTTCACTCTTTTCTCAAGCTTATAATTATTGCTTGAGATAAAAATTCGAAAGCACAAGAGAAGTGTATTTACAATGAAATCCTATGTTCTAGAAAAATTTTAACAACACGCATTAGATTACGGATCAATATTAAATTTGCTAGAGAAGAAGAAGATATGAAAAATGCAATCACGTTCACCTCAAGTCCTCCCAGGGCACCTTGGACGTAGCCTCCAAATAATTGTATAACACGCTAACGCTGATGTGAAGATCGCCTACGTTGAAGGGATAGATTTTATTCCAGCCCTGTGGACCGAATTTCCGACGCTCGGCGACCACCGCGTGGAAATAGCAAAGGGAAAATAGGATGGCCTTGAACTCTGCCTCCTTGCTGCACATCTCCAACGTCTCCTGGGTGAAATTGTCCAACGCTTTGTGCAGATTTGCCTGCATTCCCGTGGGTGGTTCGTTCGTAATCTTAATAGACGACTCGAGGATTCCCTGATTCATCAGTTCGTTCATCTCATATTGTTCGAAACTATTTAATTAATGGCACTGCTGTGCCCTGAGTAATTTTTACTTTCATAAATAATGTTTTCGAACTTAATTGAAAAATACGACGAGAGTTTTCACGCCTTTTTGCGATCACGGTTCTTCATACTCGAGGGCACAACGATATAAAAGATAAAATATTACCTGAGGAATGATGTGACCTGCTGGCGTGCTAGCTGGTTCCGCGCTCATGAACACCCTGTAATTTTCGTGCGAGCCGTCGGCGGCTATTTCCAATTTCTTCTCCAACAGTGGCAACCATTTCTTCACCAAATGAATGTTCTGCAGAACCACCCAATGTCCATTCTTCGCTGCCACGTCCATAGCTTGTTCAGCGACAGATTCTTGCCCCTGGCCGAGGGACACGTTGTGGAAATTTTGATTATCCAACGTGTAACCCAAACGACGACCCAGGTCTTCCACGTCCTGGTTAAATGAAAATTTGTAAGCACCATCAGAAGGGTAGAGAAACGAAATTGTGTTATAAATATAATAACAAAGAGCACGTAATAATAAAATACACATATAACAAATTTGTATTACGTGGGTAATACAAATTTGTGGACGTAGATTTTCTTTCTTATGGATAGAATCTCAGCAGAAAATTGTTTCACGCGTAAAATATAATATATATTGTAGAAAATATTGTTTACTTTTTCATACATTGTGGTCATACTGTTGCATTGAAATATTTCCTATAAATACCCAGAAAAATTCTCAGTCTACATCTCTGGTGGACAGGCAAAGGAACATCAAATCAGAATTGAAGAGTTTATGACAAGAAGAAAATTTTTCATTCGGTTTTGAAGTTAGCTTCTTCAGCGAATCTTTAACTGCCCTTTTTCTTACCAAAATTATTCAAAAATGAAGCTGTTTGCTTACTGCAACTTAGAAGCAATCCCTTCAACTGCTGCCAATCAACTCAAAACGCAATATAAAGTCAGTTATTAGATCTTGGTTCGTAAAAGTTTCAAACATATCGCTGTACTTCAAAATACACATTACATCGCGTTGGACATTTGTTCCTTTTCTCAGCCTCATCAGTGCCATCAGTTGCAGTTTGAAAGGTTTCGTTACCTTCAGAGGATTCACACCGGGAGAAAGGATAAAGAAGATCGGTGTGGATGGGCTGGTTTCCTCGAAAGACTTGGCGAATTCGACGGTTCTACCCTCGATGTACCTTGGGCCAAGCTTCTCCTCGATAAATGCTGCGATTGCATAGGTCATTCTGTCGGGGCGTAGCGCCCTGAGCATGCACAGACGCTGAATAGTCGTCTTGTTCTTCCATTCCTGTGGGAATTTCTCCCGCTCCGGGCACTCGCATTCCACCAGCTTTTTCCATCTCTTCGCCGAGCTCTCTATGTCTCTATCTAAATTTCTGCGCGAAAGAACATCATCGTACAGGGCCAATAAGAACAGAAATGTTACCCGAGACAATCTAGACGCTACCAAGAACTTTCGTAAGCCTCTGTAAAAATTCAAACCTTTTTAGGGGTTTCTCGCTTTGTGATAAGCAATATTTTATTATTTACCAAATTACAGAACAGAACAGAGAGAAAAATATATTTTTTAGTTCTGCAATCGAGTAGAAAGAGAACTTTATGTCTCTATCTAAATTTCTGCACGAAAAAACATCATCGTACAGGGCCAATAAGAACAGAAATGTTACCCGAGACAATCTAGACCGCTACCAAGCACTTTCGTAAGCCTTTGTAAAAAATTCAAACCTTTTTAGGGGTTTCTCGCTGTGTGATAAGCAATATTTTATTATTTACCAAATTACAGAACAGAATAGACAGAAAAATATATTTTTTAGTTCTGCAATCGAGTAGGAAGAGAACGTTAGTTGATTCAGATCGATCGACAACGTGAATTAAATCTTAAAATTGCAATATTATTAAACTAAAATGAAGCAAAATATATTGAACTAAGATGTCAAATTTATGATGTTTCTCCTCTATATGCCTTGAAACAGAAGGTTGAGAATCACAGTGATGTCAGTCAGTCTATCGCAATAATATCTTACCTTTCTTTTTATGAAAAATTATTTGAGTACAAAAAATAAAGTTAGTACTTAATCCTTGATTCAGTGTCAAATTGACACATTAAAAAATATTCTTTAATAAAAGAATATATAATATATAATATATAATAGCTATAGTATAATATATATCGTTAATAAACAATAAATCTATTTGATTGTGTATGAGATTCAGACAAATCTTACTTTTAGGTATACACGATCAATTTCATATCGTGAGCTTTGTCATGATCAACGTTATAATCATTTATTTTGAATTTTCACGAAATTGTGAATGCATAATTGTTCTATATATATGTGCTCTCAAGTATTCTGAATATTGTCTTCAATTCGGGCATCTCTGAATGTCTCTCATCTCTTCTTTTTCACGTGTTGACCTTTTGCAAGAAAAATAGTCAAAGATAATAATAATAAAATAAAAGAAATGAGAGTAAATAGTAAATAATAAAAATAAAAGAAGTGAGAATAAAAAGAGAAACTGAAACAAAGGACGGATGATAATGAACACGATTGGATCTGAATTCGACTTACACCACTGTGACATTTTAACCTGTGTGCAAAGTGTATTGCAAATTTTCGAAATTACCGAAATTCTTCTCTGCCGGCGAGACTCCTAATTCCACCCCAGCTGGTGTTGCTAAGAAAATCGACAGGCGAAGTAACGTGCGGCGTGATGGGGAATCTTAAGAGGAAATCCAACTCCCCGGCAGTCACCTCGTTCCGCGCGAGCAATATCTGAAACGCCATCTGCGACGCGAAGATCAGTTTGTCGCATTCGAACAGCCCCCTGCTCGTGTACATGAACACCGAGTAGGTGATGCACTCGATCAGATTCTTCACTCTCCCGGACACGTCCGGGGCGGGATCGGCCTTCGAGATGGCTTTTTGAAACACCACGCTGAAAGCTTTCAGGGAAAATTGATAGATTGGATTGATGGTGTTCAGATCGTTCAAGATGAAGTAGAGGAGCGAGGCTCTGGCTGCCGCTGGTCGATACAATTCTCTTGCCGCGTCGATTTCGCGACTTGTGCCACGGGCTTCTGTCACCTTCGACTCGATTTCCGCCGCGGTCCTCTTCGTCGTCTCCAGATTCTCCACCAGCGACGTGTCACCTAAAACGTTGCTGCCCGCTGACGACAATCTGCGTTACGGACAATTTATTTATCCTCGGTTGTTTGTTGGAAATTTCTTTGAAATTTTTCGTCGAAACGAAAACCAGAAAATTGTGGAGACTATAAGTTACAGAGCCACAAAATTGTAGAAACTAATTACGAAGCTACAGGACGCTAACGAGAAACACTCTTTCAGAGAAGTCTTGATTTTCCGTATTATCGTGAATAGTTGTGAAATACAGAGAAAAAGTTAAGTACAAGTTGTATTGTATTTTACAGTCCGTATTGCGGTACAAAGCTTTCAAGTATCGACAGAAATTTATATTGTACAACAACGCAGCTTTTTATTTACTGTTTGTATTTTAAACCACTTGCGCCGGCAACCGATTGCGGACCATAACGAGTGACCAAACCGTGTACAACAATTCGTCGTTCTCTTTTTGAACTCGTCGATATATTACTGGATAGAAATTATTGGGAAATAACAAATTTGTTATTTGTTTTGTCTGGATTATACTTAAATATACTTGAAACTGAAGAAATGATGCAATTTTGGGACAAAAAATTCGCGACGTTTTTCAGCAGAAGAAAAAGATTGTTCCATTATTAGGGTCACATGAATTCAAATATTTATATATACCTAAAATATTATTTATATTATATTAGGTTATATTAAATATAGTATATATATATATTAAATATTAAATATATTGTATTATATTATATTAAATATATATATATATTAAATATTTAAATATTACGTATATTATATTATATTATGTTATATTAAATATATTATATATATATATATTAAATGTTAAGTATATTGTATTATATTATATTAAATATAGTATATATATACTAATATTTAAATATTACGTATATTATATTACATTATATTAAATATAGTATATATATTATGTATATTATATAAAAGAGAATGACAAAGAAAAAGGAAATCGTTACGTCGTTCGTACCTCGATAAGAGAGAGTCTTCCAAACTGTTGAGCGTGATCTTAAAATCGTTCTGCTGTCTGGTGAGCTCGGCCTTCAGCTCCTCGAGATCCGGCCGCTCGGCTTTCACTACCTCCGCGAGTAATTGATCCTCCAAACCGTCCCTCGTTACCGTGAAGTTAATCAGAGTAGTTTGAGCCTGCATCTCGGGCTTGTAATGGGGATTGGCCAGCTTCGTGTGCAACAATAATCTGAACAGCGAATTGTATTCGACCTCCTTGTCGCCGATCTTGATCGCCCGGCCCTTCTTAATCAAGTTTCTGCCCAACAGCGGATCCAGCACCGGGTCCACCGTTTCACCGATATTCTCGACGAGCACCGTCGACCCGGTTGCTAGGCATTGCTCGATGACGTCCAAGTAACCCTTCTGCCCTAGCCTAATCACGCGAAGTTCCTCCCCGTATTTCTGCTTGATCCATTTAATTCCCTGGAGCTGAGGAAAAATAACGTTCCAGAGCGATGTTAGATCGCGACGTTAGATGGATCTGTACCTGAGGATCGATCATCAACGGCCATCGGTCGGAGGTTGTCAAAATAGTCGCGTTCTCCGTTGACATTCTGTCGTTTGGTAGTCCTTCGTTGTTCCACTTGGCAATCTGTGTGTCGTTTGTTAACAACGACAATGGATCTAGCCCATCGGTGATTGGGACCGTAGGTTCCACGCCGCGCAAGAATGGTAGCCATTGCTTGTGTAACAGGTCCTGGCGGAACTGTTTCGTGAAACATCCCACGTAGGATATGAACGCCGTTACTAGGAGAACGTCGCCGGGTAACGTGGACGCTTGTTGCATGAAACTTCGGAAGGTTTGGATTAATTTGGACGCAAAATACAGATAGAGGGCATTGACGACGCTCCGTAGCTAGTTTTCGAAGTCGTGAAAAGTAAAAAAAAATTATATATATATAATATTATAATATATTATAGTATTATAGGATTATAATATAATATATTATGAAATATTATGGTATTAGTATATATTATAATATATTATATTATATATGGTATTAGTATATATTATGATATATTATACTATATATAGTATTAGTATATATTATGATATATTGTAGTATTATAGTATTATAAGTACATTATATAATATTATAATATATAATATAACATAATACAATTATAATATATAATTATATATATAATATTATAATATATAATTTTATAATATATTATAATATATATAATTATATATATATATATATAATTTTATAATATATATATCATATATATCACAAAACAGATATGGAAGTGATACGAGCGACAAATAATCAGATCAGAACGTACAAGTTACTCGTATAATTTCTAATAACTAGACCAGATGAATTGAAAGATGTAAAAATGCACATAACATACAAAAATACATTATTTATGTACTGCTTGCCATAAAGAAATGCAACATCTCAAAAGTTAAAGTCTTATTATATGTTGTGTTACATAATATAACATATATAACATATAACATGTAACGTATATTATATAACATAACATAAAATTTTTAATTCGTATTCTACAGAAATTAGATGGTTAATAACTAGTATAATCTTTCTTATCTTCTAAGCAAATTTTAGCATTCGTAAAAAACATTTGTGCTTTTCAGATTCGTGCAACCTTAAAAATGAGCAATTTTTTTTTTTCTCTTTTGGTGTTGCAACGAAAGAAATCTCTGTTTAGCTCTCGTGACTATACAAATTTTTTCCCATTAAAAAAGAAAAACATACTTGGCTACCGAATCTGCCCATCGTACATTTTCCGACGCCAAACCGCCAACGAGCCTGTTAGCAAGAGCAATTGTGGCGTTGGTCGCGTCCGCCTCTTGTTGACACTTGAGCTTCTCGGACGTTGCTTGCTCGAAGTCTGCCGTCAACTTGGCCAATTGCTCCTCCAACGACTGCGCCCACAAACATCACTCTAACCTAAACTTGTTCGAAATTACTCGTTCCCCACGAGTTTACGTACGGCAACTTTGCGTTTGATCACGCTCAGTTTCTCCTGAGCGGCGGCCAATTCCGCATTCGCCTGCGCCAACGCTTTCCTCTTTGGCTCCACGTCACAAAACACCTCGTAGAACTTGATGATGTTGATCACCCAGGCGCAGAGGCCCGCAGCCGCCGCTGATTTCGATCTCACGAATTCTGGCTCGAATTCCGAATCTTTCAGATACGGTTGTATCGCCTTTATCACCTCCGGGTGGATGTTCTCTTTGTCGTAGTTGATCAGAGAGTCCAGGAACGTGTCGACCTTTGCCATCATAATCTGGAGAAACAACGGAGATAATTTCAAGAAGAACGACATAACTGAAACGACGAGATCAATTGAAGAATTCATAACGAAAGTGTCTCAGAGTCTTTGATTCATTGTTACTATATTCATTGTTATTTTGTTTAATAATATACTGTGTAATAATATACTTTATAATATTACTATATTTTGTATAATAGTATACTATATTACTATATTACTATATTTTGTATAATACTATACTATATTACTATATTACTATATTTTGTATAATAGTATACTATATTACTATATTACTATATTTTGTATAATAGTATACTATATTACTATATTTTGTATAATAATGTAGAAAATATACTGTAATATACACTACATAATATACTTTATAACATTACTATATTTTGTACAATAATATACAAAATATATTATAATGTATACTATATAATATACTTTATAATATTACTATATTTTGTACAATAATATACTATATAATATTACTATGTTTTGTATAATAATATACCATATAATATTACTATATTTTGTATAATAATACACAAAATATACTATAATATACACTACATAATATACTGTATAATAATATACTTTATAATATTACTATATTTTGTATAATAATATACAAAATATACTATAATATATATTATATAATATATTGTATAATAATATACTATGTACTATATTTTGTACATGCATAAGTTCAATTTGTACTTTCACCAGCGGATATAGAGATAGTCAAGTCCAACTGATCAACTCCATCTTCAGAATATTAATTTTTAACATCAAAGTACACTTCTTCAGAAACCAGAATAATTTGTTTTAATTGAGTGAATCAAGTTGGCTTCCGACAACGAATGCAAAAAATTAAAATGAAATCAATTGCGAAAGGAAAAGGGTACGTAGAGATTGATGATATTTCGTATGATTTGACTAAGACTTCGTTGTCATCGTCCATTTTGTTGCATTTACGAGAGACGAGTACTTCTATCGATGACCTTGCCCCAAGTACCTTGGCAGCTTTCCAGCTCCTGTCCTTGGGTATTTTCCCAGCTGGAGCCAAGAGGACCATCACGGCGGCAGTTACGTTCGTCACAGCACCCGGCGGCGAGCCGAACGACTTCAATTCCGTGAGATTCGCCTTGTTCAGTGTATTCAGGGCCTCTTGGGCGGCCAAGAGGGCCGGCTCGGCCTTCATCAAATCCACCTCGCAGTCCTTCTGCTTTTTCGATACCTCTTCGGCTATTATAGCGACCTTCGACTCTTCCTCGTCCGCTGTATCAGAACAGAAAATCCGATCGAATCGCCAATCGACAAATCGTCAGCGATTGTGATGGTGATTTTACCTATGGCCTTCTCCTTCTGTACTTTCTCCGTCTCGACGCCGACGATCGCGATCAGAGCATCGGCCGCGTCGTTCTTCTGTTGCAGCTCCACCTCCTGCATCGCCAGTTTCTCCTTCAGTTTGTCCACCTGCACCGCGGTCGAGCGAAGCTTCTCCAAACCGTTCTCCAGCCTGGCTACTCGGCCGCGAAGCTCGCTGGCCTTCGTCCTCAACAGCCTGGTGTACAGGCTGATCTGCTCGAGAAATGATTTCGGCGTGGTGTAGTTGTATCGGCGCTCGCTGGCCAAGTAATGTCTGCTGGCCGCGTTGACGCTGGTGTGAGCGTGGGCCATAAATTTCGCCGCGGACTCCCTGCATCGAAACCATCCGATATATATTTATTACCGCGCGAGGGTTCACCCTTTCGTCTATTTGCCGCGTCCCGATCGATATCCACGCGGCCTCTCTCTCTCTCTACCTGTAACTTTCCGGAAGTTCGTCCAACTCCTGCAGGAACCTCTTCGACACAGACATCAAAGCTTCTTGCGGCCATTCGTGGAACCAGTTTATCGCCGTGCAATTTATTATCGCCGGGAATTTCCTCGAGCGTATCCTTAAAGTGGAGCCGACCGGCGAGAAGCAGAGAACTATCCGGAGCTGGCGGCGGACCCGGTCGATGAAGAACTTCCAACAGTTCTCCCGGGTATCCAGCATGCCCGCGCCCTTCACCTCGTTACGAACTCCTGCAACCGAAGCTTCACCGTGGATCATCGAAGGAAGAATAAACCGAGATCCCGGTCCTTTGTGTCGCAAGGATTAGACGTAAATACCAGACTTTGCATTATTGAGAAGAAATGCAGAAATCATTGAAAATAATTTCTTTTTAGCGCACTGAGACTGCCAAAGTGACCACCGTTCGTAAGTTTTCGCAGATTTATAAATTTATAACCGTGCAGACTTTTACAGATTTGAATGGTGTTTCGTGGAATGTATAAATGTAAAATTATACTACAATTGTAGTACTATACATTTATACGTTTCTCTGTGTTTTTCGTATTTTAATATGTAATCTGATTTAATTGCGTTATTATGTTACTACTTACTAGTTATATAGTATTTGATCTGGTCATTGTTACTTTAATTATATAGTATTTGATCAAATCTATTACTCATCATTCTTAATAGACTGTAAGTGTTTATACATGTTAAATCTATACTATAATAAATTAAAGATGTTAGTTGTATAAATTTAGTTTCTGCAATCTATTGACAAACATTTGTCGATAGAACCCATTTCAAACTAGTGACACATCGTGTATCATGTAGTATTTATCCAATTTAGTGACACATCGTCCATTATATAGTGCTTATCCGATTTAATTGTCGAAACACTTGATGCGTCATAAGAAGAAATTTTGATTATCGTTATCAGTTGAAAATTAATCAGTACTGGAGAAACAATAAAAAAGTTAAGATCATATAGAGGAAGTTATTAATAATGTACATCAAAATTCTGACAATCATCGAGATATTAGTATAGTCATCTAGTTAGAAATTGATATTTCAAATGACTTAGCAAAATGCCATTATCAAATTGCACGAATATAATGCAATCAATGCTCTTTGTTCTAAAAAAAGAAAAAAAAGAGAAGATTAACAACTTAAATATTGCTTTTTAAGTTAAAAATCAATCTAATTATTTAATAAACATTTTATAAAAATTGAAGTTCTAAACGAACCAGTGATAATTCGTTTGAATAACTTCCACAATAGAGCAACAATGATAATAATAATAAGTAATAATGGTTCGTTAACAATTTTGCCAAAAAAATCTATGCAATCTACATCAAATATCAGAGTTTTGTTAAATGAAAAATGTCTCAAGGTCAGAGTGTATGTAAACGCAACATATACGACGGGTTATTAGTGCAACCTGAAATATTCATCAACCTGCTATTATGTTCTCCACTTCGTCCTCGGCAAAGAGGTCTGGAACCTCGCCAGAAGCGAGCATGTCGTTGATCAGCACGAGAAACTGTTCGTTCGCCACTTGGGCGTCGGTCATCAGGAACACGATGCCTAGATTCTTCAAGCCCGATTTGCTGTAAAGAACAGCGAGCTCCAGCTTGAGATCGGCGATTCCATAACCCTTCTTCAACTGAATTTGGAACACCTCCAGCGAGCTTATGAAAGCGGCCAATCGCGATAAGCTTTGTTTGCCAGAGCCACCAACGCCGACGAGAAGTGCGCTGCCCCGAGGCGACTCCAGGATCCTGTTTATCCGGCACACGTGCATCATCGCGTCCTCGAACAACACCAGATTCATCGCCGCTACCAGATCGTTGTAGCTGACCATTGCTTCCGATAGTAATCGATGCAGCGTCGACCAATCCTTCACTGCCATGTACTTTGGCTCTCCGACTCCACCTTGCAATTTTAAATATTTTCATTCTGTTTCTTTTTTTTTTTTTTTCTTATTGTCCGAGTTGCAGGTTGAACAGCGAGCTTTTACTTTTTGCGAAACTTTCTGAGGAAGGTGAGGCGACTCAAGCTGTCAGAAAATTGTTAAGAGCTTCGAGAAAGAGTTTATTTTCTGTCAAACTTATTTTCTATCTGTGTCTTTTCATTTGTTGTTAAATTTTTATTCACATCTTTGCGCAAAATCTTGATCTGTTAAAAATAAGATTCTAGGGAGAAATTATAATAATTTTTAAATTACTATTCTTCGCTTTCGAGATATTGCAAGGTTTTTGCAATTCTCGGATCATTATGAAATCAACTTTAAAATCTTTAAAACATTAATAGCTCAATTGAATCCCAAGAGTTTAGGTCAAACGACTAGAAAATATTCCAACAGCTTACAAACGATAATACCATACCTGCAAAATGACAGTAGATGTTAGGTTTCTCCAAAATGGCGCCTTCGTCTATTTCTTCCACGTTCTTCTTCAAGATATCCAGTTGTAGTTTAGAGAAGCTCTCGATGTCCTTTTCGTCGATCAATTTGTCTCCGTAAACGCGATTCGTTTCGTGGAGCCATAGTCTTATTAAGTCCATAGAAGACTGTAGACACTCGTTCCCACTGAATAGTAATCCTTGGAAGCAGTTCGACAAATCACGAAGGTTGAAGATGTAATGGAATTTCACCGCTGTTGGGAGGAACATTTGAGCACACCGATGATGTAACTGAATCGATGCTTGAACAATGTTGTTACACATTTCGATGACAGAACTAGGGAACCTACGTCACAAAAATATATCTGCTATCGAAACACTATTAGCAGAAAAATCACACTACTTAAAAGACTACATGTAAAACCATTTTTTATATCGTCAATATAATTATATAATAGAAATAACCATCATATTAATTATAGTTTTATATATATATAATTATATATTATTATTATATTATATAATATTATAATATAATTATAATATTAATTAATATTAATAATTATAATAATATATATTTATAATATAATTATAATATTATTATGTTATATAATTATTATATAATTATATTTTTGTTATATAATTATTACATAATTATATTTTTACTATATAATTGTTCATTTCGAGAATATATTCGCAGTAAATATGTAAATATGTAGAAAAATAATTGTAACTTTAAAAATAAAAAAATATTTTATATTTATTGCTCTCTCATCGGTTCATTTTTTTATTTAAACGAAGGCAAAACTTGTCAGCCTACTCTCGTACTGTTTATTTTACACATTTTATGTTGACACAACAAAATGAAATTAAGAGCACGTCATTTAAAGAAATTAAAAAATGATCTTAAGAAAAATCTTATTCCACCCGAGTAGTATAATTTCCTCTTGAAAAATTCTTTCGTGCAACGATCAACCATTCCTCTTCCATTTTTTTTTTTTCTTTTTTCACTCACCTGTGTTCTACGTTGGACAAGTGCTGTTTCAAGATGGACGAGTATATAGTGGTCAACGAATCGACATTGGGAAAGCTGACTGCAAACACCGAGAAGTGTCTCTGTAGCCTGGGATTAATGGTGAACGATCCAGCCGTAGGATTCATGCAGCTAACGTACTGGCAATTGTGAATGTCCTTCAGAGTCAGCTTCGTTCTGTCGTACCAGTGGCCATAATCCAAGTGCTGGCGGATCAAAGTATGCGGTTGGACAGTCCCGTAAGCGTCCACCTCCGGCATGTTCATGTCGTCGATAAAATACACCAAAGTTTTGTTCCCGGGCGGCCCGTAATTTCTGCCGGCTTTCTTCTCCAGCGATTTCTCGAGAATCTTCTGCAACATCTCCGAGGAAGTGTAGAAATTAAAAGGAACGTTGGATACCGTGTAACTCTCAGACAGTTGTAGAAGTTTCTCCGTGACGAGGACAGTTTTCCCGCAGCCGGCTGTTCCGACCAGCATCACCGGATGTTTCTCAATCATTAACAAGTCCAGGAAGTATTTGATTCGAATGGACTCGGCCGTGTAAACCAGGACAGCCTGTAGAGGCATCTCAGGGTCCAGTTCGAACTTTGGCAGACGTTGCGTCCACGGGACGAAGCTCTTCGTCTCGGAGTCGATGTAATAATCGAACACGGTGCCCTGAGAGGGGAATCTGACCTGCTTGAACTCGTTTATCCACCATTTGCTGAACTCCACGCGATGATCGACCATTTGATCTTGGAACATCGACGAGCCGAAAGCCCATACACCGGCGAATACGAAGTAAAGCTCGTAATGCTCTTTGAGAAAGTCGTTGGCGGTCAGCTCCGGCTTCAGAAGACAGTGGAGAAGATGGCACAGCATCTCCACGTGCGCCATGTCGGCGATCGGCGTTATCTTTTTGAATCTGGTTCTCAGTGTCTCCAAGCAAGGAGGGATGTACTTGTCGAACAGCATGACCAGGTTGGATTTCTCTATCGGCGACGTTCTCTTCTCCACCCAGCTCGTGACGTAAGGATTCCAGCCGAGATCCTGCGGATTTATGTAGAGGATCCCGGCTCTGGACACGGTGGCTGGCGTTGCGGTTCTCAAATTGGATATTTCGAACAGCAGCCTCATCACTGGCGTCAGGGCTATCCTCTCGTTGCTGGCCAACGTCAGTACTTTATTATCGTCCATGACGGTGTTCAATGACTCGATCCACATGGGATCGATGTCGCCGTCCAAAACTATCCACTTTGGATTCTCGCCGCCTAGATTAGCCTGTTCCCTCATGATCACCGAGAACAGGCCGTCTTTCCACTCTCTGGTCGCTGGATTGATTATACCGAACAGCTCGTCGTTCGTCACCGCCTTCGGATTCAAATCGTTGTACACCGGTTTCCTCTTCATGTTCTGATACGTTCTGAACAGCGACTTCCAGACCTGGGTCTTGCCCGATCCAGCGCCACCCACGATGAACACCGAGTGCCTAACCTCCAGCAGTTCCTCCAATTGAACGACCTTGAGGATGAAACCGTCCTCCGGCTGGAGCATCAGGTCGGCCGCCGCCTGTTTCACCATCTTCTCGAATTCAACGTCGCGTTTCCTGGGGACGTCCAACGCGGGGAACAGGTCGGCTATCAGGCCCATGAACACAGGCAGATCGTCAGAGATCACTTTCGGAATGTTAAAGTCTCGGAGGGCTCTCATGAGTACTTGCTCCTCCGGTCTGCCCGGGTCTCCTCTCTTTAGACTTCCGGCGACCACTAGCACCGATTTTATCGCGCGTAATCCCCAGTCGTAATGGTCCTGCTTCGATAAAAGCTCCTTGCACAGCGTGTACAGAGTGATGAACTTTCTCGCTAGGATTCTAGCGTCCTAGAATTCACGTATACGAGTGTGGACTTTATAATTTAATTAGGCACGCGGGAATATTTAAATAGACTCGTAGTAATTCAAAAGTATTGTGCGATTTTTGTTAACAGTAATGGTTGTCGATGTTTACTGTAAAATCGTGAGAATCCTGCGAATCGTAAGATCCAAAACGTTTCCTAAATTATATTCAAGTTCTTTAATTGGTAATTTCAGTTAATTCTGTTAACTTATTCATTTATTAATCCAAAAAAATCCGAAATTCCATATATACATTACTCAAATCAAAAAATATTCCAAATTCTATCTAGATTCAAAAAAAAAAAAATATCCCAAATTCATAGATCCTATAGATTTAAAAAACTTCAAGTTCTGTCAAAGAGTTAGCGTCGAGAATTCTTTACGTTAAAACAAATAGATTAAACAAATTTTAACTAGTATCTATAAACCAAAAGTATTTCCCTTCTACAAATTAGCAAACAACATCCTGAAAATTATTGCACGTTATTGCTGTTTGCTTAGTAGTATACCTGGAATCCCTCCGCGACTAACATAATCTCGCAGATGAGCTCGAAATCAGGGACCACCATTGCACAAGGTCGAAACAAGGCTTTCAAATTCTCCGGCAACTCGGTTCGCCCTGCGTAACCTGGATTCATGGTGATGAATATGCCGACCGTTGGCGTCAAGCCGATTATTTCCCCCATGAAGTTGAACTTCTCCTTCTTGTCCCGAATGGCGTCTTGGATCGATTTGACTTGGACAGCCACTACGGAGAGTACTTCGACCGTGATCCGGTTGAACTCGTCGAAACAGCCCCAGGCGCCAGTCTGGGCTAATCCTTTGTAGATGTTGCCGCAGGATTTGTAGTCCATTTGCTCGGAACAGTTGAACACGTACACCATTATGCCAAGAGCTCTGCCCAGGTCTTTGGTAGTCTCCGTTTTTCCGGTTCCGGCTGGGCCTGCTGGTCCCCCGCCCATTATTAAATGAAGAGACTGGGTCAGCGTTATGTAACATCTGTCTGTTAACGGCGTTATGACCAATCTGTATGAAAAAGAAACACATTCGATAGGTATATTTTTATATTTCGAACATCTTGTATCGAGAAACTCTTGTCGTGTTTGAACCGTTCGGAATTTATAAAGTATAATTGTAAAAAAAAAAATGATCGAAATGATCTATGATGCAGTTATAGATCTATTTTAGAATTTACTATTACGTATCTCGTCATCTTTTTGCAATAAATGGAATTATAAAGTTTGTCTCGTGAGAATCGAATGTGATTATATTACTTAATATATATATATATTTATATTATACTATATATTATATATATTATTATATTAGCAATATAATAATTAATTATATATTGCTTAATATTTCGTCATCGTCCGACAAGTTATTTTCACGCGAAAAAAATACATTTCTCTGTTTAGAGAATCACTCGCTAAAGCGTAATTAATAAAATTGAGGAGTTAATAAAAAAGATAAGAGATTAATAAGAAGGATAACACGATAATCAATTATTTACCCCGATAAACGAATTGAAATATGAAACCTAATAAAATATATATTAGCAATCTCCCAACGTAATTCTGTATGAATCAGCTATCAGATTCCACGATCCCAACGCCGAAGAATTAACAGAAAAAAAGAAAGGAGAACCCATCGGACCTGGGAGTATTTCCCAAGTATTCGTGAGAGTATTTAAACTGCGCGTCGCAAATATTAGCAAAGCAATCCTTCTCCTTCTCGTCCCAACGATGACGAAGTTGACTCTGCCATTGGAAAGCCTGCGACGTCTCCACCTTGGACTGCACCAACTTCGCCACCACGTCCCGAGAGTGTACATCAATGGTGCAGATGGTCATCACCTTTTGCCTCTCCTGTTTCGTCAACTCCCCGATCAGCAGTGTGATCAGTATGCTCAATTGAGAGATTTGTTTCTTCAGGTAATCTTTCAACGAATTGTCGTAGCCCTCCTCCAACCTGGCGAACGCGATGTTCACCTCGGTCGTCCACCAAATTTGCGTCCCGCAGAGGGAAACCTGCGCCGGATAGTCGAACAACCATTGTTCCCGTGGCTTCTCCTCGTACGTCACCACAGCCTCGCTGAAGTAGTGTCTCATCGTGATTCTCATCGCTTGCTGCAAACGATTCAGCCATGCTTCCACCGCACCCTCGCAGCTCATCTCGCAGTTCACGAATTCCACGTACTCGCCGTCCTTCGCGAACATACCTTGAAACAAAACGATTCAGAATAATCAGCAGTCAGAATATTTGTTAAAATTTATTTGCCAGAGAATTTCTAAGAGAATCGTATGTAAAAGTAACGATATATATATATTCTGTGATTCTTTGATTCTCAAGTTGTTATTTTACGATACGAAAGGAATTTATAAAGTGTTGAGAAAGTATTTAACGTAAAATTTAACCGAGCATACTAATATTCGTATCTTTACATACAAATTTGACATACTTTTTAACGCTACGAAACATACAAATGATGGAAAGAGCGTAGCAGGATTAAAATTCGTTGAAAAAACTTTGTATGAATTGAATGTATAATATTCAAAAGAATACGTGTACATGTAAATAATTTAGGTAAACAATAGGGACTTATATTGCATTGTGAGAAACAATTTCTATTATATATTTAAATAATTCTCTATGAAACAATTCTCTATTATATATCTAAATAATTAAACAACTTGATGAAATTATTGAAACACGTGAAACCTCTACACCAATAAAGGTTGATCACTTTAATTACACATTTAATGACAAATGTAAAAGAAAAAGTACATCTAGAGTAACATACAAAATTCATTGAAACAAATACACGCAATTTATCATTCGATAATGATTTCTCGGATCGATCGAACATCGACAGATAACGTTTTCACTGTCAGCGGAAGAATCGGCGAAGAAGCAACTTTATTTTCACAGTGATTTATCCTCGACTCACCCAACACGCGTCTTGGCAAGGCAGCAGCCGCGTCATCGAATTTCAATCGGGCCATAGAGTCGAACAGTTTCGTCAGATGCTTGGCCACGACCTCCGGTTGATTTCCATTCGACAAAATATCCAACAAATCGCTGGACGAAACAAAGTAGAATCTCGGGAACGCGAGACGCTTCGTCTCCAAATATTCAGCCAAGGCTTTCTCGCAGAGGACCAACTCCTTCTGGAGGGTATCGAGCGAGGACACAAGGCCTTCTTTGTTCGTCGCTTCCACGACGTTCGGCGTTTTCGCTAGTTCCTCCGTCATTTCCTTGAACTGTTTGTCAATTCGATCGAACCTCTCGGCGTCCACTGGCAATTGTCTTCTTATATCTTCCGAGGACGTGAAGATACTCTCGAGGTGCATCCAGGTTCGTTGCACCTCGAACCAAATCGTGGTCACTTGATCGGCGATGCTCAGCTTTCGTTGCCAGCTGGACACTTCTTCGAGGAAATGGGCGATGAATTTCGAAGTGATGAGATTTTGCAGCTGAACCTGTGTGAAAATCGAATGAGAATTTCTAGCCGAACTGCTCTGATAGCCAACAAAAATAAGGTTTATGCCCTTGAGTGGACTATTGAGGTTATTGCAGTCTTATCTAGCGATGTGTTACACGATGTATTACGTTGATGTTGTTATTCGAAGATTTATGTAATCGGTGGATTTATCAATTCTATGTAAACTAGGTACGATTTCCAATCCAGTTAGACTAAAATTAAGAAACGAGAGAATATAGCATATTTTTATAACGTAGACTTATATTTTATTATTAGAAGAGAGTTATATTTTATTATTAGTAGAATTACATTTTATTATTATTAGAAGAGAATTATATTTTATTATTAGTAGAATTACATTTTATTATTATTAGAATTTATTATTATTAGAAGAGAATTATATTTTATTATTAGTAGAATTACATTTTATTATTGTTAGAATTTATTATTATTAGAAGAGAATTACATTTTATTATTATTAGAATAGAATTATATTTTATTATTAGTAGAATTACATTTTATTATTATTAGAATTTATTATTATTAGAAGAGAATTACATTTTATTATTAGTAGAATTATATTAGTAAGAGCAATAAATAAATGTAAAATATGCTAAATAGATTATTGTTACCAATATCATAAAGAATCATACTGTCTCTATTATAAATTTTCACTAATTAACTATTTTGCAAATCTTCACCACTTGCATTACAAATTCTCATTTCATAATATTAAGACAAGACTGTTGCATCTTGTATAGTCATCAATAATTTGTAATGTACACCAATATTTTGCATTATATAAACCCATATATTTTTGCATATTCGCTAATGTTGATTGTCAGTTTAAATTTCAAATGGCAAATTTACGTTTGAAGAATTGAAAAATCTTCCTCGTGTCACCAGAGATCGATGAGCAAAGTCACGTTCGTGATAGTAAAAATTCTACTGTACGTAGCATATAAATATAAATTATACGAACGTAAAATATAAATTCTCTGCAATTTCCACAATATCCATGCACAAGAGGAAAGTACCTGGTTCTCTTCCAAGGTTTCGATCAATTCCTCGCTGGCTCTTATCAACGTAGCGCCAGTTCTGGCGTGAATTTCTTTCTCGAACTCCATTTTCGACCAGGTGGCGTTCAGCTCTCTCATGTACTTTTCCATAGACATTTCCTTCACGGCTTTGTCGACGATGTTCTTCACTTCCTCCTCGCACTCGTGAAGATTCAGCTCCAGAAGATCGGCCAACGTGGTAGACTCGTCCATGACGAATCGTACCTAATCGATTACCTTGATTAGACTGCGTTTCTTCGTGTCACTGTTTCTATCTTTTCTTTTTTGCGAATCAAATGGAAACTTGATTTTATAATAAATAGTCTAAGTTTGGATACTTTGTATATTTCTGTGCATTTTCATGCGTGTTCAAACGTCCCATAAATGCATAAAAGTTCCGAGTGTATTTGTTATAATTATGAACTGGATGCATCATTTATTATTGCGCGTCATTGCGAACGTATTTGAAATTTTAACGAATCATTAAAAAAACTGAAATTAAGATAAAGTGAGGTGTACGAAGAATGAAGGATGAAACGTTTCGAGTGAAAAATCAATTTATTTAATGAGACATATATATATATATATATATACAGTGAATGGTATGTACGATGAACGAAAAAAACGATGATCAAAATATTGTAGAAATCATTCGTTTAACATACACATGTACGTGATGCATGCATTGCTAACTATGTAATTACGTATTTATTGAACGATCGTGGCGGTGATTTCGATATTCGTGCTCAGAGATTTTCAAAAGAATAATAATTCAGAGGATAAAGTGCGCGTATTTACAGTGAAGACTTACGGTCATTTCTGGAGTCATGTCGCCCAGCTTCTGCAACACCGATAGCGTATATACAGCGGTGCAACTAACTCTAAACACCTTCGTGTACTTCCGCAAAAATAATCCTAATCTGAATAATCTCTAATTATCTCTCGTATCAGAAATTCGTCAAGGAAAAACGATTTGCATGAACAATGTACGATAATACATTGAAAAGTATTTACAAAAATATACACGCACAATCTTTCGTACAAAGTCGGACGTTACGTGAAATATTAATGTTTTCGAATCGCTTTCAACTCTTTTCGTAAACCTATTCTTCGCTTTTTAACCTCGGCTGGTACCTTGGTACTGTTCATCAATTGCCTCCAGTGTCTTTCCCTTATGGCTGGGTTCTGAAGCTCAGCTACAGCCCTCAAGGATGTTAACATGTTCTTCACGGTGGCCTCCAGTGACACATAGGTGTCCCACGATCTCATTTCCTTGTCCAGAGCTGATTATATCAACCAACATGTTGAAAACATACTTGAGCAAACGTGATCCTTTGCGATCCTGCATTGAGATTTGATAATCTGGTATCCTTTATTTCTTTTTTCAGAAGATATCGTTTTTGTTATATTATTATAGGCCTGCCTATAATCCTTTCAAAAGAATTTTAGAAAAATTTCAAAAGAATGTCAAAAAGTTTTGAAAGAACTTCGAAAGAATATTCGCACGATTAGAAAAATTGAGTCAATGCGAAAATTTAATTAATGCAGTCTACTACGTTTGCAATTCGACGAGAAAAGTTTTAAAAAATATCGTCAAGATAATCCAGGAACATCTAATTACCAAAGTACGCATGTGAGAAATATTGTGGAGATACTGAATAATTTCTAGAAAAATAGCTCAATAATTAATTTTATCATAATTGGAATCAAACGTCAAACGCTTAGACCGCAAAGGGTTAAAACATCACATCATATCAACCTCGTATCTCCTTGGCGAACTTCTTGCACTCGATGTCCATGTTCTCCACGTCAATTTTTCTCCACGGCGTGGTCTTCCATCCTTCTATACAGCTTCTAACGATATTCACGTAGTCCCAAAGCTGCTTCAACATCTTCAACTCTCTTCTACATTGTTTCAACACTTTGAACTCTGGCACGATAACCTCGAACAATGACGCAGACTCTTGGATGTCTTTCATCTGACGTTCCAACATCAGGATCTCCTTGTGGCCCTCGTCTAGCAGCTCGTAAGGATTTTGACAGTCGTATTTGAAGAAATTGTATCGCCGGAAGGCCTCGCGGTAGTGAGTTATCGTCGTATCGAACGCGGAGATTCGTCCTCGTATCCTGGACACTTCGCCTGTTGTATATTCGTCGATTAAGAGAATGTATTTAGTATTAATATTGCGAGAGTAATTGTTATAAATATCAGGGAAACATTTAGAAAAAATTAAATTAATATTAAATTACATTGCGTCGAATAATTATGTAATAAAAAATATTTATTACAGATTGTTTGTAATTATTTGTATTTATTATGAAATTATTATGTTCATTGTCATTTAATTCCATGAACGGTATAAACGATTCTATAAATCAAATTTCAACTTTAACTAAAGGTTTCCATTCAAGTCGCACGAGATTTATTTAATGAAATTCGAATTAAATTATTCTGGGACCAACAGAACAATTGATTTACCATTTTTTTCTATAACTTTTGCAAATATTTCCAACCAAAGTTTATCATACACTTCAATTGTGTTACATTGTAGAAATTCCAAACAGATTTATAAATAGCAATGTACCTACCAGCTTGCAAAGGTGCCACTTGTTGTTTAACCATAAGCGCCAATTTCTTCGTATTAGACCATTGTTCGGGCAACGCTTGAAGAAGAACATTCACCTCCTCTGGGATATCTTGATCATAAAATTTTAGCAGTTCGATCGTCTCCTCCAGCGGCTGGAACATTTCGTCCGTAGTTGGTTGCCTCTCTTTCACTTGTAACAGATAACCCATCACGCTAACCAATCCAGCGTAGTCTCCTGGCTGTATCGGCTGAAGCAAACCCTCGTCCGCTCGTCTACCAATAAAATATACGAACTAGATTGTAACTCCTAATAATCTCCCAGCAATACTTTCTAATAATTTAAAATTATAACTACACACTTCAGTTTTAATTATAAAATATTAAAATTTCTATTACAATTCTAATTATAAAATATTAAAATTTTTGTTACAATTTTAATTATAAAATATTAAAATTTTTGTTACAATTTTAATTATAAAATATTAAAATTTTTGTTATAATTTTAATTACAAAATATTAAAATTTTAATTATAAAAATTGTAACTACATACTTCAATTTTTAATTATATAATCAGATTAATAATTTGTAATAGTCTAAAATTGATTACTTTTAGATTAAACAAGGTGGTACAATCTTGGTTGCGTTTTTCTGAAAAAAAAAATCAAGCTTGAGAAGGTACATTTAAATTCAACATCTCTTTACAACTTGTCTACAGAAAGAAAACAGTCAGAGTGTTGAGACAGATCGATCATAGAGCCTATGAAACTGAAGATAAAACCATGCTTTGCTCTTCGATCGTGGCAATACGGTAAGAGGAAAACACCTTATAAACGATCCCAAATCCGAGAGGCTGCTGGTAACGCGATCGACCAGATGTCGCTTGAACATGCTCGACCATTTGCAGACCGTGTTCAGCACCGACTGTCTGAAGGGTCTGAGGTCTACCCTGAACCAGCCACAAAACACTTTCGACGGTTCCATTTCCTCGATCTCGAGATAGAGGCCCTCGTAAAGGTCGATTTGCTCGCGGAATTGCTCCATTTTCGGCGGTGACCGTGTCGGCCCCTTGGGATCCTGCACGGCCACCATCTCCATTTCCTCCATCGTCAATTGTCGGCTATACTCGAGAAACTGTTGCATCACCATGTCCCTATCGTCTAACCAGAGATAGGCGTATCCTGATAAAATAAGACGGCAAAGGATGAAGCGTGGATCACGAAGCTAAAGTCTGAACTTCCTCTGATATTCGTTAGCTCTACCAGATAACGAACGCGTTTATGGAAAGTTCAAAGAAGCAGTAATACGTGTGCGAGTAGAATAGAAATGTCACAGTGTGATAATTTGAACGTATTCGCCTAAATTTATAGAGAAGCTTTGTAATGATCACCATTTTTTATATTTTTTCATTTAAGTTTAATATTATGGTAAAACTAATGTAAGTTTACCATGGAATCTTTTAAAATGTCAATGTGTTAGTAAAATAAGTAATATCAGCTACTGCTACATTACTAAACATTTGGAGTAATTAAATTGAAATTTTGACACATTTGAAAAAATTGCCAATACTATTTAGTGTTACATAGACTTCACAGAGGTCCTATTTAGCAAAAAAAAAAAAAAAAGAAGAAGAACGAAATTCTGCATTACAACGAACATAAAACTTAAGGCCTTTTGGGTGCAAGTTCTACCTTCAAAGTTACTGCAGAATTCCGTGGCTTCGTCCACCGCGGTTACAACGTTACTCATAATTTCGTTCTTCATTCCTTTTATATCTGGATCCTCCTCCAGTTCTTCGCTGTAGCCTATAGAATCCTTCTTTAACCTTGGTACAAGAGCAGCCAATCCTATGATGTCGTTCAGAAGCGCCAAGATCAATTGATCCAGGCCATCTGGATCGTCGGGTTCCAGCGAGGGCACGTAATACAGATCTGGTTCTCTGAGCTCTAACTTTGCTTCTAACAGCGGCTCGGTTTCTTCGTTCGACTCCATATTATCCACCAAATATCCTAATGCAATATTGCAATGTAACTTCAAGATATCCAAATTATCCAGTATTGAGTGTTAGAAGTAAACAAAGGTTCTAAGACTTTAGAAAGAAAGAAACTAATTTAGTTTCGCAAACCGTAAGTGCATTATAGTATTATAGTAAAATTATTCAAACTACTGTTTTTCAATTATTTTAATATTTGAGTGCCGAATCACTCAACAACAGTATCCAAACTACTATTTTTCAATTATTTTAATATTCGAATTTTGAATCACTCAACAACAGTATCCGAACTACTATTTTTCAATTATTTTAATATTCGAATGCCGAATCACCCAACAACAGTATCCAAACTACTATTTTTCAGTTATTTTAATATTCGAATGCTGTATCACCCAACAATAATATTCAAACTACTGTTTTTCAATTATTTTAATATTCGAATGACAAATCACCCAACAACAGTATCCAAACTACTATTTTTCAATTATTTTAATATTCGAATGCTGTATCACCCAACAATAATATTCAAACTACTATTTTTCAATTATTTTAATATTCGAATTTTGAATCACTCAACAACAGTATCCGAACTACTATTTTTCAATTATTTTAATATTCGAATTCTGAATCACCCAACAACAGTATCCAAACTACTATTTTTCAATTATTTTAATATTCGAATGCCGAATCACCCAACAACAGTATCCAAACTGCTATTTTTCAGTTATTTTAATATTCGAATGCTGTATCACCCAACAATAATATTCAAACTACTGTTTTTCAATTATTTTAATATTCGAATGACAAATCACCCAACAACAGTATCCAAACTACTATTTTTCAATTATTTTAATATTCGAATGCTGAATCATCCAACAACAGTATCCAAACTACTATTTTTCAGTTATTTTAATATTCGAATGCCGAATCACCCAACAACAATATCAAAACTATTATTTTTCAATTATTTTAATATTCGAATGCCGAATCACCCAACAACAGTATCCAAACTACTGTTTTTCAATTATTTTAATATTCGAATGCTGTATCACCCAACAATAATATTCAAACTACTGTTTTTCAATTATTTTAATATTCGAATGACAAATCACCCAACAACAGTATCCAAACTACTATTTTTCAATTATTTTAATATTCGAATGCTGAATCACCCAACAATAATATTATCTACTACCAATTGCCAAACATTTTACTGCAGTAATATAACGCTTGAATATTAAGATATTTATAAAATAAAATTTCTGATTCTGCCGTACATCGAAAATACTGTAGAAATAAAGTTTCAATAAAACACGGCTGATAAGATAAGAGTTGAACAATAATTGTACCAAAAAATATCGAGCATCCATTCACCTAACGAACATCCTACAGCCCTACGAAGGGACTCCATCACGATCCCATCGACATAGGCCACGTATCTCTGCCACGGTTCCTCCATCCCGTCGCCAACTTGAAAAAGCAGCTTGTTCTCCTCCAACAACGAATGAATCTGCTCGGCAGCCCTCTCGACCTCGCCGTAACGTCTCGACACTTTTTCTGGACGCTCGTCGAACGACAATAAAGCGTCCTTACGGCGGTCCCTCCTTTCGATGAGAGGCGTCCTCGTCCAGGCGTCCAGCGCTGCTTTGATCTTCCCCACGTTCATCTGAGCCGATTTGATTCGCCTCCACAGCCCTTCCACGAGATCGCCTAGCTCCACCATGTACTCGAGAACGCCGTCCGACTTCCAGCATAATTCCGTCTCTCCTCGTGACACCAACGAATCGATCCTGGTTATCTCCTTCTCGATCAGCTGGAACTCCACCCGTCTGGTCATCTTGCAGATGTTGTTGTACGAGCACACGGTAGCACCTAACTGCATCCGAAACTTGCGAAACGTTTCTACGTTTTCTGACACCTGGATGGTAGAATAATATCGAGGGATGAGATTTGGCAAGGTTTTAGGTATCGGAATATTCGTTGGAAGACTTGGAAGCAAATTTTCTTTTGTTTTATCAGTGTGTTTGTTTCGTGTCATAGGACTAGATAGGTAAAATAGTAAGTAGGAGAGTAGAAATTGAGAGTTAGATCTACGATTTATCAACGACTTGATAATGAAGAGTTGAAAACAATTTAAATGATTCAGCTTTATCGAAATTCTATTTTCAAATATCAGTGTACTGTAAAAATTCACTTCTAATAAATTCTATTTTCTAACATCAGAGTTCTATAAAAATTCACTTCTAATAAATTCTATTTTCTAATATCAGAGTTCTGTAAAAATTCACTTCTAATAAATTCTATTTTCTAATACCAGAGTTCTATAAAAATTCACTTCTAATAAATTCCATTTTCTAATATCAGACTTCTGTAAAGAAATTTCAAAAATTCGCTTCTGATATATTCTCATCATTGCGTCTTCCACTTACAACTGAGATTTCAAGGAACCGAGATATTTTTAAATGTTATGACAAATAAATTAATTATTGTCTGATCCTGAGTGGGTCGAATCTATTCTACGCGAACATTTTAAAAATTAATTTTATCGTAATATTATAACCGTACTAACTGTAACAAAAACGAGCCTCCTTACGTATTCTTCAGCTACATAAAATTTTCTTAGGGCTGAGCAACGATGACAAAAAATACATATAGGAAACTTGACGTCGAAGGAACACACCTTTATTGCCTCTTCGGGAATGTCTGATCGCGACATTTGCTTCAAGTAGTTCACCTCCTTCAAAACACACAAAAGCTCGGGATCAAAGTTCAGCAATAACGTGGAATCCTTCTCGCGATAAAGAATATTGCGATTCAGTCCAATATCGACCGCGTCAGGTACAGTTTGTGCCCATTCCGTGAACAAATCTGTTTCCCTGTCGTCGAAGATCTTGATCAGCCTTTCATAACGTTTCTCTATATTCCGGCCTTCCTCGCTGTTCACTATTCTATACCAATGATAATCGGCGTGATAATCCCGCAATGAACTGTAAACTTCTAATCTGATCTGTTAACAACAAATCTCTAATTAAGCGAGACATACGGATGTTGAATAGCCTTGAAAGATTGCACGGGAAGATCGACGCGTTGCCTGAGCATGCTGATGAATGTCAAGGCCGCGGCTAAAGGTGGAAGATTAATTAGAGCGCCCCTAGTGCCACGATTGAAGAGAACTTCGATCACGGTCAGCTCGACGTTCAGTAGATCCAAGATTCGGGTGTAACGATTTGTGAACTGTTTGCTTATCAGTGGTCTATCCAATACCGTTCCAGCGATGTTTATCAACTGAAAGCAGAAGTTCGGGAGAATTTCTATTGGGACAAAAAGTTGTGGAGTACGTTAAATCGGAAATAGATTACATAAAATTTCTGAATAAAATGACTACAAAAAATATTTGTTAGTATTACATATATCATATTATGTGTAACACTGTTTAAACTGCTTTATAAGAATTTGTTTTAAAATTAATTTTATTGTTTTATTCTGCAATAGGTGTGTAGTAAAAGGAAAAGAAATAAAAGAACATTTTACTAGTCATTTTGCAACTGAATCAAATGTTAAATAAAATAAGAAAATGTCCAAATATTTAATATAATTGTAATATATTAAGTTGGAAGTGTCAGTATTTATTGTAGAAATGTGCATTTAGTGTAAATGTAGTAAAATTTTTTTGCATGATGCTTTCTTTTTGAAAAAAATCGAGTTTGAAATGTTACTATCAAGACAATATTTAACGAGATATATTCAAAGTCTGTTTCCTTGAAAGTGAAGCTTTAAATAAAAAAATGTCACTACATTTTTGACTAATTTTTGCACATAGAATATTGTTTAAAATATAAATTCTTTAAATAATAATTCTATATATATATATCCTAATAATAATAAATATTTTTATAAATAATTATCAAATATTCTTTACTTTCAAGCTTACGATTGGCTAAATTCAAATATACTTGACAAATTTTTAAACTTGATTTCCTCTGAAACGAATTTCCTTTAACTGAAAAAAATGTTATCCTTTCTTTCAGATATAATAATTAGATAATAATTTAATAATAATTCAAATAATAATCAATGTAACAATATAACGATATAGTATTCAGTATGATATATTAAATCAGAATCATTTGTATTTTAATTAAATGTCCCTTCTACAAAAGTGTAATTCTGCTTTTAGAAAAAATCTCTGCTCCATCTCTGCTCGACACGTCTAATCAAAATTACGTCAGAGCGTGGAAAAGCGGTACCTTGAAGACACTCTCAAGGTTGCCACAGTCGTCGAAAGCTTGGCAAAGGATGGCCGCCAATTTGCAGTCGAGGTCGGTGATCGAATCGTTGAACTTTCTACAATCAGCGGTGAAAGATTCGTCGTCTGGCTCGAGGGCGTCGTTTGCCCGCACGGCAAATGACATGAACAACTGCTGAAACTCCTTGTAGACGTTGATGATCCTGGTGCTGAGAGATCCGCCGAGGATACCGCCGATTTCGATTTTCTCCAGTTTCGAGAATTCCATCACGGTGTTGAACAACCACTCGATGTCGGCCAGTCGTTTCAAAAATGCATCCAAGCGGGTAAACACCGCGCTGGAATTGAAGGTCCACGATGGTGCATCGGGTTTCATCGCCGGCATGTCTTTTCTAAGTTCGAACTGCCGTTTGAATTCTTCTAAAACATCTGTGAAAAAGTCCCTGTGAGAAACTTGTTGTCGTTGACAACATTGTCTTGTAACAGTTCCTTTGTCTACTATTTTTATTAAGTTTCTTGGGAATTAAACATTAAATATTTGGAAAAATATTCTTTTTATGAAATTACCATAAAATTGTCATGTAAGTATCGTGATATATACGTAACAGTATTTCTATATAGGTATGCTTTTGTCAAGATATCGTCCTCCGACGATTTATACAAATAGATTTTTATCAAATTAGAGTTCTGGAAATGTTTCAAAATTTAGTAAAAATCGCGATTTTCATGGATCGATTTTTCAATGGGAAGACTTTGTTTTATAAAATCACTTCAAAACGAATGTGAAGAAAGAAAATAGTTTAAACTCCGTAAAGTCAAAATCGATCAAGTTTCAAATGAAAGGATCAACTACATCTTCTCATTTTGTTTTACGATAAAAGAAAGAGTACACTGAACATTTGCGAGTCGCTAGAAAATAAACACGTTCTTGCTTTGTATGATAAATAAATAAGTACTACGAACAAGCACTATAACAAACAAGTATCACGTTTTATTTCTTTTTCCTAATTTATATGAATCTCTATTTTTCCAAAGATCTTAATATTCAAATATTATACTGTCTGTCTGTAACTAAAAAAACTCTGCTACTGGAAGACATTCTATTGTCGGTAATGTATTGCGTTTTGATTATTGAAACATTCAGCTAGGCTCTACTACACATGAAATTATTAAAAAATTGTTTCCCTTTAACTTGTATCGTACAATATCATTTTTTAGAATATTAATATTCGCAACATCCGTCAAAATAGAAATTGAATAAAAAATTGAATAAAAAGACAGTTAACTTGATGTGACTATTGTACTTGCAAACGTAAATATTTACAATTTAACCAAACCTCGGGATATCTGCACACGTTGCAATGCCTCGTCGACGTCGCTCTGGAAGATGGAGGTCGGGTCGAGGAATCGACGAGCCTCCTGTATCAACAGGTTGCAAATCTGTCGAAACATGATGATCACCTTGGAGGAACTTTGATAGTGGGTGGATTTCGACCAGGCTAATCCGACCGAGTGTATCAGCGTGGCCATTAGCGGCTTAGCCTCGGAGAAATCGACCTCCTCGACCGCTTTGAAGCACTTGGCCAACGGAGACAGATAAAGAGATATCTCTTTCGCCTCGGCCATCGACGACACCACGTTATCGAAAAGGGTGCGAAAACAGGGGAAGTAGGCACTGTCCGTTTTCTCCAGAATGCTCGCCATTTTCTTCACCCGATCCTCTTGCAGTTGATCGTAAATGTACCTGGAAGACGATCATTCTTCAACTGGCAAGTAATCTTCGTTAATCGATGGGAAATAATTCGAAAAAACATGGAAAACCTACGTCGATTCTTTGATTGTTTCGACAGACATTCTTTCTATTGTTCTCGACTCTCAAGAAATTCTGAAACACTTGTTAAATATAACTCTCCGTTACAGTGTACAATCAATTTTCCAAGCCAAATGTTTAGAAAGTTCTCGAGAAGAAACAGAAAAATCGCGTGGGAAAAATTCACGAGTGAAATTCAGCTCGACGTTAGCTAAATGTTGCTAACAGAAGTATTAATTTGTCGTTCATATTCCAATTCAACGATTCCTTTTTAATACTACGTTGCTTATCTCTTCGGTATGTAAAAAAAGATCGAATCTCTCTTTTTCGTAAAATCAAATTTTTTAATAAAAGTCCTGAGGAAATCGTTTCTTTCAACCGGAGGTTACGTTCTCTCCATGTTTTCTAACGTCATTCGATGAATATTTAACAAACGACAAGAGCATCTTCTACCTTAAATTAGCTAGTCTCGTGGACCAATAGTCGAGCTCGACGTCGGGAGTGGGATTTTGGCCATTCTCGAAAGCAGCGCTGGACTCCTGAGTGACAACGTCGTTCACCAAGTAGGCCCACTTTATCACCACACCCTCGATAGCGCTTTTCAAATATAGATCAACGGCTTGGGGACCTTCAGCTCGCACCAGCTTCTCCACTTCCGTCACCTTCTCCATTCCAGCTGGCATTGGGAGCACCGTTCTACCGTTCACCTGACCTTTCACCTGCATTTCGACGAAAAATATAAAAAAAAAAAATTTAAGAGTAGTGAGAAAGAGAAAGAGAAGACTTACTTGATACAGAGTGCCACGAAGAGAATGGACGTGTCTAGAGATATCCTGGATCGCGACGTCAGGCAGGTCCCTGTGATTCTCCGCTTTGCTTAACAAAGGTGCAAATACATTGTCCACCAACGTGGCTAATTGATCGACAACACGAGACGACAGATCGCCAAGTATCAGCATCGACGAACAAGCCTCCTTTTCCTTGCTCAGTGGCGCCTGTTCTATCTTCACGGCGTAAATACCTGAAGAGAGTTCGTGATTCCTCTCTTGAAAATAATTTCTCAAGTTCTCGCCAGGTTGTTGTAGGAATTTACATTTTGGAAATTTAGAAATTTGGAAATTTTGTCAAAATTTCGAAATTTAGAAATCTGTAAATTTTAGAAATTTATAAATTTTATAGAAATCTGGAAATTTAGAAATTTCGAAATTTAAAAATTTGTAAATTTTATAGAAATTTGTAAATTTTATAGAAATATGTAAATTTAGAAATTTGTAAATTTTAGAAATTTGGAAATTTTGTAGAAATTTGGAAACTTAGAAATTTGTAAATTTAGTAAATTTTATAGAAATTTGGAAATTTAGAAATTTGGAAATTTTAAAAATTTGTAAATTTAGAAATTTGTAAATTTTGTAAAAATTTGGAAACTTAGAAATTTGTAAATTTTCTAGAAATTTGGAAATTTACAAATTTACAAATTTTGGAAATTTAGAGAGCAAAATTTTCCCGACGCGATGCTCACCTTTGGTTCTCTGACACGGTATGGGAAACGAGGTTGAAGCGACCAATTGCGCGTTCGGTGCCAGAGCCACGAAGAGCGCAGCGGGCAGAGGATTATCAAGGAAATCAAACACAGCATTTCTGTATTCTTCCGTAAGCAGTAATCTGGCCCATTTCTCTGGCTTCAGCTTCAGCGACTTCTGCACGAAACCACCGATGTACTCCAATCGAAAATCCGCTGGGCCATCAGGTGTGGCCATTTCTGTTTGTACAAATTTAACAGTGAGGATAATTAGATTCTCAACTTACGCACTTAGGCTCAATGTTTCAACTGTTGATACAAGATTTTCGCTTTAGATTCAGATTCAAGATCCTCTGGTCTTAAGATTCTATTTTTACACTTAATCTTTAAATACCAGTATAAGATTAGAATATTTAGTATCTCAAGTAGATTCGAAATTAGATCATAATAGATTTTATTTTTATTTTATGGAACCGGATTAATAAAAATTCTAGATCGTAATATAAAATTTTGTTTTTACATTTACAGATCTGGATTAAAAGTATTTCTTACAAAATACTTACTACTGAGACTTATTTCGTTAAAAACCTTTGCTCTCGGTTAACTTCAAACAGAAATCCTCTTGATTTTCCGAAAGAATCGAGCCTTAGGAGTTTCGTGACGCGACCAAGCGAGGATAGTGCAGTGCTGGCATATCTCAGACGATTGAAAATATGTAAAAGGCTGGCGTGACCACAGAAAGGTGGTAGTGGTGGACGCGGGGCGGGTAAAAATGCCAATCGTTCGGTGGCCGTTGTGCAAGCAGGTCAAGAGACCAGGCACCGACTGAACCGAACGGAACTGCCGTTCTGGCATTGGATGCATCGTGTCTTTTAGACGTCGTTGCCTTCCTATTGTCACGGGACGCACGAAATATTCCCCGAGAACAACTGACGTCGCACGCGATCCTGCCTTCCGCGGGGCACTGGCAGGTACCATTTTACTCTTCGGTACTCGTCCGGAGATGTTAGTCAGAGTTTCGCGTCCATCGATGACATTCGTTGGAAAACTTTCGATCGTCAGGCGAGATCGTTCCGCTTTCGACACGCGTAGCTAACCAAACTTACCAAATCAGTCGAAACACGGACAATTGGTCGATTGGACATTGCTGATTTTGAGAATAGGGGTTCTCTTAGATTTTGCCTTTCGTTCGAATAATGCAAAACGTACGTGGATAATTCTAGTTTTTTTCAGACTTGAAGAAAGAATCGTCGATCACGTTCGTGAGTTGATAGTGACATTGTGGACTCCAATTTTAATTGTTTAACAAATAAATCAATCGTCCGAGCTGTATTTAGATAATTTTGCTCCTAAGACTTGAGAGAAAAGTGATGTAAATGGTTGAGCCAGTGATCGAGGAATCCACAAATTGTTCTTCAATTGAGCGAGGTACCCGGGAAATGGCAGCGTAGGAAATGGCTCGCGCCGGTGAGTTCGAATTAAACGACGTCGGCGTTCGCGTTGTTTGCGATGCCAGAGGCAAGTTAACCCTGATCAGTCTGATCGATCGGTCGTAAAAGATCGGTGGAAATTGCGCTGACGTAAAAACAGGACGCGTACAGCTGTTCGCTCTTGGATTTTAGCCAGTTGAAACTGCTAACCATTTACTGGCTGGGACCAACTTGAAACCTAACGATGATAACGTGAATTCTTGGGGGAAAAAAAAGAGGGCCGTTCGCTCGATTCCCTAATCGGCTTATCGATCGCGTACACGTAACAGCGTAGCAGTATTGTTCAGTTGCACCCTACACAATACGTAGATAGACGAAAAGCTGTGGAAAAAAGGAGCAGCTTGCGCGAACAGCTGGCCATCGATGGCACAAGAGGCTCGAGGAGAGAGTCTCGCGATCCCCGATCAAACGTCAGAACTAATTTCTCTCGACAGATTAGCCGCCTGTCGTTTTTCCCGAAAAGCCGGCAGATTTTCCGCTCCTCGAGCATCTCTCCGCACGCACGAGCGCACCGCGCGCGTAGCTCGAAAAATTTGGCGCGTGCACGCGCGACAGGTGAGGGCGGTGAGGCTTTTCATTTCGTGAATGCTCACCCTTCGTTCGAACCGAGCGGAAAGAAAAAGAAGAGAGGAGACAGACGAGAAATTTTCGCGTGGACGCGCGAATTTTTCATCTTCGTTGGATATTCTGTTACACGGGGAAGTAAATTAGATGGAGTTCCTTCGATTTTCCTTGCAGAGGAAGTTTGCCAGGCAAACTGGAAAATTAAAAAGGTATCTGTTATCAAGGAATTCTTAAATGTTACTGGTAGACGATTTTTATTCGAAGCACTGCTCCTGTTTCTCTGCACTGTGATTCTCAGATGTTGCGTTTGCGTCAAGCAACTCGTGAATATTTGAAAATCGCGTTGTAGAAAAACAGGGAACGTGCTTCTCCGCTGTATAAACAGTTTAACGTGCGTGTCTTCCGCTTACAGGGACTCTCACCCAGAAACTGTATTCTTTTTTATCGACTAACATAATATAAATTTTCTTTTTAATTTTTGAAAACTTTTCAACACCACAATCTTTTTTTAATTCCTCTTCACTGCAATATAGACCATAAAAAAAGTTCTCTGATATAAAAATATATGTATATATAATTATAAAAGAAGTTACAATGTTTCATGTGACACATGTAATAATATATATATATATGTTATATAAAACATTTTAAAATTTCATTAAAACTATTATGAAATTCAGCTGTTAGATAAGATACAGAAAAGAAACTGTATTCTTTTTTATGGACTGTCGTCCATCACGATATAAATTTTCTTTCTAATTTTTGAAAATTTTTCAACACCACAATTTACATCTTTTTTTTTTATTTCTCTCCACTACAATATAAACCATAAAAAAAGTTCTCTACATAAAAATATATGCATATATAATTATAGAGGAAGTTACAATGTTTCATATAACACACGTAATAAAAAAAAATATATATATATATATATGTTATATAAAACATTTTAAAATTTCATTAAAACTATTATGAAATTCAGCTGTTAGATAAGATACAGAAAAGAAACTATATTCTTTTTTATGGACTATCGTCCATCACGATATAAATTTTCTTTCTAATTTTTGAAAATTTTTCGACACCACAATTTTTTTTTAATTTCTCTCCACTGCAATATAGACTGTAAAAAAAGTTCTCCATATAAAAATATATATATAATTATAAAGAAAGTTACAATGTTTCATATAACACACATAATAAAAAAATATATATATAATATGTATATTTATATAAAACATTTGTTATATAAAACATGTTACATAAATGTTATGTAATAACGTTATATTAATAATATATATAGTAATGTTAATAATAATATAAAACATTTTAAAATTTCATTAAAACTATTATGAAATTCGGCTGTTATCATTGTGTCATATTACAAGTGCATGTCTCACAAGACAGTTAAATCTTAAATTTAATATTTATCCTCAAATAGTATTTACCTCCCTAAACTAATTTATTAAATGTTTGTTCACGAAAAATACTCTCTATAGCGCTGGTGAAATGTCAGAAAAGAAATTGAGCGATTCAACATAACGTTGTTCGCGCCCAAATTCGCCGATTGACAACAAGGGAATTAATATCGTCGCCGGTCTAGGAAAAATGAAGCGTCAAAAGTATCAACTCATTCCTAATACCATCCACCGAATAATTGCCTCAACAGGTGACCTCAACAGGAGACTTCTTCCCTGATACATAATCAAACCGTGTCACCCTCCGACCGTTCGAACGATCAATCCTCGCCCGCATTTCGGGGAATCAACGGCGCATTCTCTTGATCAATTCATACTCTCCGGAACGTTACCCATTCCAAAGCCCGACCAGTCGATCATCAATCACTTTTCCTTCGAGCTTCCGTCCCCAAATTGAAACAGTCTCTCTCCGGCGCCTACGCGCCGGAGGAGAAAAAAAAAAAAAGGAGGCTCGAACTGCCTTCGAGCTGTGCCGGTCCAAACAATTTGCACGGGGTGCGGTCGGTAATGATTTCGGACGTTATCTACCCCAGAGCGAAATTTGTCCCGGTTGGCCGCCATTCGTCATCCACCGCGCCACTTCCTTTATCACGGTGCAAAACGGCGGTGGAACCGCGAGGCTGCTCCGGGCCGGAAGTCGAGGACTCTCTCGAGACGCCTTTTTCTGCTGACACGCCGAGAATTGATGATTCTCGCGAGTCCCACGGCTATTCTCGTTCAAGCGAGAAGTAGGGTGGAAGAAACCAGGCGAACGCCGCGATTTCTTATTTAGGGAGCTTTTCAACATTCCCCGCGTCATTTTTCACGCGTGCCTCGTTGCACGAGACGCGCGTTCAACGCCTCAGAGTCACAACTTCGCGAATCGAGCAACGTTTCGTTATCGTTTACTCTTTCGTAGTAGGTGCGTTTGAGGGGTTTAAATATTGCCAGACTAATTAGGCAATTTCATAACTGTTATTTCGATTTATCCTCAAAATGAAGAGAAATTTCAAATTTGAGTTTCTCTCTTGAGGGAAAATATAAGATTTGAAATTAGTGATTCTCCTCTGTTCTGATTTCCTTGATTGCGGTCTTTTTCAAATTTTGTTATTTTTATTATCTCTGTTAATAATAATTTTTTTCATAAAATAGGGAATATTTATCTTTTTCTAGTGACAGAGCGAAGTCTTTTAAAATACCCTGCACAGAAACGATTTCGAAAGTGAAAGGTTCAAATTTCGGGAATTCTGGATTCTTAATAAAATAAAAAGTAGATAACTTTTTTCATAAAATA